TGTGGGATTCAACATGGCACAGCTCATGCTAGAAGGAGTTGAGAAAGCAATGAAAAAAGAGGACAAGGGAAAAATGCTTGTGGATGCAGTGCAGAAAACTGTTGAGAAACTAAAGAATTCATGAATAACTTTATTTATTCAATTTATACTCTCTACAAAGAGATTAAACATGTAGGTAACAAATTATATACACTCTTAAAACAAATAATAAAACTATATTATCATAAAGTGCTAATAAGTGATCAGGTACTTATAAGAATGCTTACAGAAGGCAGAACCAATACTAGTGTTGTAATCAGGTGATCTGTATTGGTGGTTGGCTCATCTTGGTCTCTATATTTAGGCAACAGCACAGACTGTTAGTGGTAAACCAAGGACCAGGGCACTGTCACTTCTCAGTTATTTGATGTTATTTGGTGCGGCTCCTTAGTCAAAGGCCTGGTGGAAGAGCTCCATCCTGCAGAACCGTAAAAGGTCCTGAGAGACCTGATCTCTTCTGGGAGCTCATTCCACCAGTACGGAGCTACCACTGAGAAGGCCCTGGCCCTGGTTGTGGCCAGCCTGGCATCTTTAGGACCTGGGAGGGTAATCGATTTTGTGACCCTGAGCGCAGTGCTCTCTGGGGAGCATGTGGGAAAAGGCGTTATCTCAGGTATGTGGCCCCTGACCATAAAGGGTTTTAAAGGTAAGTACCAGCACCTTGAAGCAAATTTGGTATGCTATTGGCAGCCAGTACAGTGCTTTCAGCACAGGCTGGATGTTGTCCGGCATAGGGAGGCCCATCAGAACCCTGGCTGCAGCATTTTGCACTAGGTGTAGCTTCTGGATTTGGGTCAAGGGCAGCCCCATGTAGGGAGCATTACAGTACAATCTCGAGGTGACCATCGCATGGATCCCTGTCACCAAGTCGTTGCAATCGTGGAAGAGAACCAACTGCCTAATCAGCCGGAGGTGGTAGAAAGGATCTAGAATGGAAGTGTCATCCCAAAAGCTCTGTAGCTGAATTGCCACAGCTCTCTCAATTATTTTGCCCAAATAGGGTAGATTGGAGACCGGCCGGTAATTAGCCAATTCAGCCAGATCCAGAGATGGCTTTTTCAGGAGGGGACGAACCACAGCTTCCTTGAGTGCCTTAGGGAACTATCCCTCTGAGAGGGACTTGTTGATAATCTCCCTTAGGGCATCTCAAAACCCATCACGACCAGCTTTAATTAGCCACGATGTGCACGGGTCAAGGTAGCATGTGGTAAGGGCACATTTGTCAACTTCTTCCAGGTTGAATGAACTGAAGTAATCCATAACCTGACTAGAAGATGTGCATGGAGCCTCGAGTTCACTTACGGTCTCAACAGTGGTGGGGAGGTCACAGCAGAGTGACATGACTTTATCTGCAAAATACCTCTCAAAGGCCTCGCAGCCAGTGTCCAATTCCCTAACATTTGGTCTGCCTTGTGGCAGAACAGTCGAATTATTCTAAATAATTGGGCTGGGCATGAGCTCGCATAATACTCTGACTACCATCTTATAGGAGCTCATAAATGTCTTATAAGATCTTCTTTTGGCTTCATCGCAGGCGCACCACTACTGTCTCTCTAGCCATCTTAGCCTTTGCTTCATCAGCTGCAACTCCTGGGTAAACCAAGGAGCCAGCCTAGAGTGAGGGCGCAGAGGG